CAAGAAAGGAATCTGCTCCCCTCTGCCCTCCACGGTGGCGCATCGCCGGCGGGGCTGCACGCTGAGCCCCAACTTTTCCAGGAGGTCGGTACCAGCAATACACTCGTGGCATAACACGCTCGACACGTATAACTCCTGGTTACACACCTGGTGTCCGAGGCGACCCTTAAGGGTGACCCTCCCCAGCAGTCCCATCCCACTTCCACTTGCAGTGTGCAGCGCACGATCCGGGGCCTGTCGGCGGCCCACTTCAACCCCGACCACGCTGCAATGTGTTGCACTCACGAGTGACATTACCGCCCCACGTGTCCAGCAGAATCCGGGTTTGCCGCCTGTTCACCTGCCCTTCCACGAGCGACGTGGCCCCCATTATTCCTGCCACCAGCTCCCGCAGCCAGTCACCCGCAGTCGCCACATTCTGGGGTGTTGTTGTCAATATCTGCGTGGGGGTCATTCGTCACCATTATCATGACAGTTTATTTGTGTTGGGACCACGTGGATTGCACCCCTCTGTGGTCCCCTCTTTAGGGAGGCCTTGGTGTTTAACCCTGGTGCTTCTCTCGCGCGGCGATCTGGGGACTGTCTCTCACGAGATGCCCCCATTGGTCGCATAGATAGCACGCACGGGGAAGGGCGGTGGCTCCATAAGAGGCCCCTTTCCCACTCCCCCTTACCCTCCCAGTGCGCATTTGTTCGAGTTCTGCCTCTTATTGAGATACTCGCCTGGTTAGCCCCCCGACCATGGAGCGCAGCCCTCCCACCTCGGACTGGACTATCTCCGCTGTGGACTGCAGCTTGGTCACATTCAGGTGTACTTGGGTCACCTCCCCACATACTTGGGTTACCTCCTCACGTACTTGGGTTGCATGGCCTGTGATCTCCTATGCCGGTCTGTATCCCTGCCACCCATCCTGGGGTTGTCTCACGGGGTCCTGGAGGCTCCCTCGTCCCCCCCCCCCCTCACCGTTCTCGCGAGCTTCTCCTCTGGAAGAAGACTTGCAATGGTGTGCTCCTGTTCCAGCCGTCAGAAATGCGCACGCTCGCGAGCAAATCTCTCACACACCTGCGCGTGCTCGGCAAGGGTGTTAGATGGGGGATATGGGCAGTTCGCATCTGGCTGCCACCACGTTGTGCTTGTCAGATACTGCTGAACTTTCTCGGCGGCGAGGTCATCGATGATCTCGGCAGTGTATCCCAGGCGTACGCTCTGTGTTAGCAAGCGTGATTTATTTTAGTGTCCGCTCACTGAGATCTGAAGTGAGAAGTTCACATCGTGGTTATTGTTGTCGTGGTGGTAGTTGTTGTTTACCCAGGTAGAGCCTCGCTCCTTCTCTGTCTTGTAGGGAGGCCGCTTTGGATTGCACCACTCTTCGATTTCACATTAACATGCTAATTTATTACATTATCATCACTTGCCCCGGCCACTTCCTTATGACCCTTGGGCTACACCCATTTCAAACCTTTTACAACAGTCTGCCTCAGCAGCAGACCATGCATTTTCTAGCAGAGTGTTTTTGTTTGCTTTCTGACCACAAGTATTGTGGTTAATGCACACATGATTCCTTATTTGGAATACAGTACAGTACTTATTTCGATTGTGATGTTTATTTTAGTTGCCGTTAACCTAACCCCATTATTTAGGTAATGCTTAAGTATAATGATGTATTTTGAGAAGCTCACAATGGCCCTATACAAAATTGCATTTCATACAGTAACAATGATACGCTAATCGATGCCTGGTTATAGTCAAGGGATCGTCCCCTGCTGGTCAACCATGTTACGCATGTTGATGATCTGGTCATGGCTACTCAATGATATTGAGTTGGAGAATCGTGTTCTATACCTGGAGAATTCCATGACGAAATGGGGCCTTGCATATGTTCTACAAAAAGATCACCTCCCTGGGAAAATCTTGACTTAAAGCTTTCGTAACTGCAGGAATTCATATTCTTTGGGTCTTTCGGTTAAGTGACGTGACTTTACCGAAAGACCCAAAGAATACCTCCCTGGGAATTTAATGTCATACAACACTGCACCTGCTCAGCTCTCCATGAATAATCAGGTCGTTCTACACGTGGTGGAGGAGCGCCTATACCAGGTTAATGTGTTCATGACCTTATTTGGCATCCAAAGTGTCACTTCAAATTAGTCTAGCAGCATTCTTTCATTAGGCTCTGTAACACTATGTGGAAGCTGCCTGGACTTTTTTACATACAAAGCTGTGAGTGTCCATCGCCAAGGTCTAGTCCATTGCAAAGGTCTCGTCAAAAAACAGGCAATAGTCTACATTATAGACTGCCAATACACTCACCGAGGTTAAGAACCAGGCTACAGTCTACATTATAGACTGCCAGTACGCTCACCCAGAGGCGTAGCTAGGGGGGGGCAGGGGGGTACATATGTCCCCGGGCGCCAAGGTAAAGGGTCGCCTAAATGAGGCTTACAACGTTACATTATCACTTATTGCGGCGGGCGCGGCAGCCTGAAACTACTGCGCAAATCTACACCTCAACCTAAAAGTTTATATATCCCGCCACACAGAGCCTACATTGCATGTAATTACATTTTCTCAGGTCATAAGATTTGTGGATGTGGATTTTCAAACTAAAAAAGTAACTATCAAAAAATCTTTTTTAGGTTATATCGAGATACATGAAAAAGATGCAGCAAGCCTAGAAAGAGTCATCGTCGAGATACTGAAATTTGACAACATACCTCTAGCCGACTGTCGGGCATAATGTTATCATAATGCTGCTGTGATGACTGGGCATATATCCGGCCTTCAACAACGAATATGTGACAAAAATCACAGAGCATTGTTTGTCAACTGTGACAACCACAGCTTAAACTTAGCAGGAGTACACTCAGCTAAACAGGATCCACTTGTCGTCACGTTTTTTGGAACAGTTGAAAGTATATATTTTTCTCTCGTTCAACAATTCGTTGGGAAGAGTTAAAAAAAGCTGTGCCCATCACAGTAAAGCGGGAGTCTGAAACACGCTGGAGTGCACGATCAGAAGCTGTTAAAGCTCTCTATGAAGGAATGGATGAACTAGTAGGGCTGCTAGACAAATTGTCGGAGGACGTAACTATGACGCCTGAAACCAGAAGTGATGCAGAACAGTTACAGGCATGCGTATTAAATTTTTACTTCATAGTTTTATTACATTTCTGGAATGTCATTCTTGGAAAAATGTATCGCGTTCAGAAGCGCTTACAGGGTCCTACTATGAATTTCAAGGAAGCAGCAACTGATCTTGAATCTTTGGAGCATGAATTTGTCCAGCTTCGTGATGATTTGAGCCAAGTTGCTGTAAAAAACGCCAAAACAAGATGCACAGCCTGGGGGATCGATGTGGACAGAAGAATTAGGTGACGTCGGAAGATGCCGGGAGAACTGGCACAGATGTCGATGCAATTCGTCGAAATTGCACAGATTTTGGAAATTTCTATGACACCGACATCAATGGCCACGAACTTTTCACAGAATTTGGAGATTGCAAAATGCTGCTCGGTAACCGGAATTAAGTTCTACCAGAAACTCCTTTGGATCTTCTTGGTTTTATTGTGTTTTATGGAGACGACATATTTCCGAATTTGCGAATTTCACTGCAAATTTTATTAACAGTAGCAGTTTCAATTGCAAGCTGTGAGCGGTCGTTCAGCAAATTTAAACTTATTTTGTCGTATTTGCGTGCTTCAATGGGACAAGATCGTCTCAGCGATCTTGCTCTTCTTAGCGTTGAAAGAAAAACATTGGAAAAAACATATTTTGATTACGTGATTGACCAATTTGCGACAGTGAAATCAAGAAAAAATAATCTTTTGTAGACTATGTCAACCAGTCTACGACAGTGACTGAGTGAGCCATGTAATATAATTTCTATGAATTTGCTTCTTTATATACAATGTTTCATTAAAATTGTTATTCCTTATTCGATGTAATAGGAAAATGTGATTAAACGGGGGGGGGGGGCGCCAATTTTATAGTTCGTCCCTGGGCGCAAAATATCCTAGCTACGCCTCTGCGCTCACCGAGGTTAAGAACCAGGCTACAGTCTACATTAGTCGTTTTTTTTTCTTATATTCACTTTATTTGTATTATTATTTTCTATCTACTTGACTTTACCGAAATAACCAAAGAATATTAATTCCTGCAGTCACGAAAGTTTTAAGTCAAAATTTAACCACCTTTTTACCATGCAAGTGTATGAACATGTTAAGTTTGTATTTGCTGTCAAGTATATTGACTCGATTGAACATGGAGGTTAAATCATAAATATAGTTTATGTTAGTTTTGCTTTGGAAATTTTCATAAGAATGGAAACAGTCAGGAAATTAACACAGCACATATGCAGCTGAAGTTAAATCTGTTCATCCTCGCATTCAAGCTAATCTGAGCCTGGCTTCACACCTCTAAGTTGCAAATGAACATTAATTTATACATTTCTGCATAATACAAATAGTATTATTTTCAAAAGCCTTTGCTAGGTTAACAAATTTTTTCTTAAATATTCCTGTCGTAGCTAGACAACCGAAATTGTGTGCTTGGAGTTTTTGGTAAACATTAATTTTGAAGACACTAGGGTGTCCAGGCATATTTATGACCATTTGCCCTCGCATTGTGTGCCTTAACAGCCCGTGTGATGAATTGGGGAATCTCTTTCACTATATCATGAAAATATGAATATGTATAGATGTGTAAGTCATGTGTGACTGTGTATATATGCATTCCTCTGTGCCTCAATACTCACATAGATGGTGTGGACATGCTTTTCTGTTTGCAGCTGACGCTCTCTCTGCAGAATTGGCCTGATGGAGCAAAGGCACTCAGCGCAGTTCAGTACAAGAAGGAAACAATGCGACCATCATGCAAACAGCACGGATCGTACTGGAAACTTGACACAGCACCAGAGAACACACACAGGAGAGAAACCCTTAGAGTGCTGTGTGTGTGGGAAGGCATTTTCAGATTCATCTACTCTTTAACAACACCACAGAACACACACAGGAGAGAAACCTTTTAAGTGCAGTGTGTGTGGGAAGGCATTTGCAAAGTCATCAATTCTTAAATCACACCAGAGAACACACACAGGAGAGAAACCTTTCAAGTGCACTGTGTGTGAGAAGGCGTTTGCACGGTCATCCATTCTTAAATCACACCAGAGAACACACAAAGGAGAGAAACCTTTTAAGTGCACTGTGTGTGAGAAGGCGTTTGCACGGTCATGCATTCTTAAATCACACCAGAGAACACACACAGGAGAGAAACCTTTCAAGTGCACTGTGTGTGAGAAGGCGTTTGCACTGTCATGCATTCTTAAATCACACCAGAGAACACACACAGGAGATAAACCTTTCAAGTGCACTGTGTGTGAGAAGGCGTTTGCATGGTCGTTCATTCTTAAATCACACCAGAGAACACACACAGGAGAGAAACCCTTCAAGTGCACTGTGTGTGAGAAGGCATTTTCATTGTCATCATATCTTCAGACCCACCAGAGAACACACACAGGAGATAAACCCTTCAAGTGCAGTGTGTGTGGGAGGGCATTTTCGTATTCATCTACTCTTAAACAACACCAGAGAACACACACAGGAGATAAACCTTTCAAGTGCACTCTGTGTGGGAAGGCGTTTGCATTGTCATCAAATCTTAAGATCCACCAGAGAACACACACAGGAGAGAAACCTTTTAAGTGCACTCTGTGTGGGAAGGCGTTTGCAATGTCATCAAATCTTAAGACCCACCAGAGAACACACACAGGAGATAAGCCCTTCAAGTGCAGTGTGTGTGGGAAGGCATTTTTTTATTCATCTACTCTTAAACAACACCAGAGAACACACACAGGAAAGAAACCTTTCAAGTGCACTGTGTGTGAGAAGGCGTTTGCACAGTCACCACATCTTCAAAGACACCAGAGAACACACACAGGAGAGAAACATTTCAAGTGCATTGTGTGTGGGAAGGCGTTTGCACAGTCATCACATCTTCAAAGACACCAGCGAACACACACAGGAGATAACCCCTTCAAGTGCAGTGTGTGTGGGAAGGCATTTTTTTATTCATCTACTCTTAAACAACACCAGAGAACACACACAGGAGAGAAACCTTTTAAGTGCACTCTGTGTGGGAAGGCGTTTGCAATGTCATCAAATCTTAAGACCCACCAGAAAACACACACAGGAGAGAAACCTTTTAAGTGCACTCTGTGTGGGAAGGCGTTTGCAAAGTCATCAACTCTTCAGACCCACCAGAGAATACACACAGGAGATAAACCCTTCAAGTGCAGTGTGTGTGAGAAGGCGTTTTCAGATTCATTTGCTCTTCGACGACACCAGAAAACACACACAGGAGAGAAACTCTTCAAGTGCAGTGTTTGTGGGAAAGCGTTTGCACATTCATCAAATCTTAAAAAACACCAGAGAACACACACGCATCAGAAAATCCACAAGAAGTGTAATCTGAAATCAGCTTGTGAAAGTCAAAGTGCTGCAATGACCCCATTGTTCATGAAACAAGAACCAGAAGACAATCCCAGCCTGGACACTTTGAAAGGTATCAAGGTGAAATATGAAGAGGCGAAAGTGAAATGTGAAGAAGTAACAGTGAAGAGCGTAGAAGTGAAGGTTAAATTTGAAGATTATTCAACTCCAAAATCGGACCTTCACATAGATGGAGGCAGTGTGAAACAGGAACTAAATTCTGACTGTGAGGCAGAGCGAGGCAACTCCCAGGAGTTTGTGGATGTGGAGGTGTGGGTGGACTTCTTAGACAATACAAAGTCAAATGGAGACCAGGTAGATGTGCAAGCTTCAGACAATTAAGCTCCAATGGATGCACCTTTGTCACAGGCCTTTCTAATGAATATAATGTGAAGTTGAACACTCAATTTCTAGGTTCAAACTGGAGTGTAAGCGTGGCCAGTATTTGTGAACCTGTGGGTTGGGGCGATCTCTAACCAGGAGTGACTCAAGTGTTTTGTATCATATCTCATCTTAGACACTCGATGGGTGCCCATAATGGGCATCTGCCCCTGTGTGCCACAAGGTGACCGTTCACTGGCCTGCATGTGGATATGAGTTTGTAAGTCGGGGGAGATGTTTGATATGCCATTCGGATTTGAACCTTGAACCTCTGCAACATAGAGAATGTACTACTACTTGACTTCCCTCTATGAGAGTGCTGCACATATAGGCCTCATCTCGGCAGAGATCAACTTGTAAATACGTTGCAACGTGACGCAGTACATTTCAGTATAGTAATAAAATGTTGCCAATGTGCCCTTTGATTATTTTGAATCATAATTGAAAGAATACCCGTCAGATTTTGTACGTACATACAACATTTTGTGTATTAATGTCAAACATGGAATATGTGCTGTCAGGACAAAGTATCTGTTTTGGTGGTAACCTGTACAAAAGCTCACGTGAGAGCTGTTATTTTTGTGATACGGGTCAAAGGGTGTTTTTGTGAATCAGGCCGCATCTGACTGGGGCAACTCATTGTCTTTGAAATCGGGAGCATAGTCGGATCATTCATCAGTTAAGGTATGCCACTTATAAGTTACGTATAATAATAATAATAGTACAATTCGTAACGCGCGCAAATTTGCAGACGTAGTGGCCGCAACTCAGAGGCGCGGAGCCAAGCTCAGAGTCGCTCAAAAGCATGATTGTAGAGGTGAGTTTTTAAGTGTCTCTTGAAGGAGGCGATTGAGGTGATGCTGCGAATGTGCAGAGGGATATTGTTCCAGACTGTTGGGGCTGCCACCGAGAAGCGGCGCGTAGACATGACCATCCTGGATCTTGGTATTGAGAGGAGGTCGTGAGTCGCGCTGCGCAGGCAACTGCCGTGTGCTGAGCTACAAGTTGTCAGTAATGAAGAAAGATACGGCGGGCAGGCGGATATGAAGGCATTGTGGCAGAGGCAGGCGGTCTTGTATGTGACCCTACTGGCAATGGGGAGCCAGTTGAGAGCGCGGAGACGAGCTGGTGAGTCGAGGCGGAGATGAGTGTGGGCAATGACGACGCGTGCTAGGTTATTTTGTAGTCTTTGAAGCTTCCTTAGGTTGCCAGCGGAGGTCCGGACAAGGACGGAGTTACAATAGTCAAGGCGAGACCCAACTATGCAACATGCCAAAGTGTTGGCAATTTCAGTAGAGATGAGAGGACGTATGTGTCTAAGAGCCTTCAGGTGAAAGTTACATGAGCTGATGATATGGTTGGTTTGACGGTCAAAGGATAAAGTTGAATCTAGGATGACACCGAGGTAGCTGAAGTGGTTGGTGAACTTGATGCTATGACCGAAGATGTGTATGTGTGTGGGGAGTGCTGCTGAATTGAGACGTTGCTTGGTACCTAACATGATGGCCACTGACTTTTTCGGATTAAGGGCTAGGTTGTGTGCAGTGAACCATTGTTGCACGGCGGTGGTACATTCCGAGAGCCTCTCGAATCCAGATGCATTGCTAGAATCGATGGCGGTGAATAGAATCGTGTCATCCGCGTATGAGTGATGCTTAACACCGAAGCTTGCAATGAGTCGGCCGATCGGGGAAGTGTAGGCTGTGAAGAGCAGGGGACCTAGAACAGAGCCCTGGGGAACCCCGCATAATGCTGTTGTTTCAGGCGATGTGGACATGCCCACCCTGACTGAGGATTGCCGGTCAGAAAGGTACGAAGCTATCCACTTGAGTGCTGAGCCGCATATACCGAAGTCGGATTTCAGGAGGGAAGTAAGGAGCGAATGGTTGATGGTGTCGAAGGCTGACGAAATGTCCAGACTTACAAGTGCAACAGTTGAGCCGGAATCAACGATCATTAAAATGTCATCGAGCACCCTAGTGAGTGCTGTTTCTGTGGAATAGTTTTGATGGTAAGCTGACTGGAAGTTGCAGTAACACCCCGAAGAGAAGGAGGCATTTGCGATATTCCTGATCATGATGGCGAGTTCCGGAGCACATTGCTTGAACAAGGAACCTGGGAGCACGTCGAGTGGAGATGACTTCAAAGGAAGTGATTCAATTAAAGCGAAAACGTCTTTTGTAGACACAGGCTTTAGCATAGTTAGAAGAGTGTCTGGGTTAGTGCTTACAATTTTAGGTACCATGAGCGGGGTACAATGGTGCACTGTGTCAGTAGACGTGCACGAGTTTGCGACGGCGATTAGCTTGTTGTTGAAGTAAGTATTAAAAGAGGTGGCAAGTTTCAGTGAGGCAAGGGGATCGCTAAGGTGAGGGACCATGGTGCTACCAGGATGGAGAAGATCTTTGAGAGTTTTCCATAGAATGCGCGGGTTTCCGGTTGCTTTTTTATGCGTTCCTCAATGTGGGAGGAACGTGAGACAAGGATCAGTTTGTTAGTTTTCCTGCAGGCGACTCTGTAAGCAAGTCGATCAGCAGGTAGACCACTGCGGGATGCGATACGTTCAAGACGCCTCCTGGTTCGCTTAGCAATGATGGCATCTCTTGAGAGCCAGTGAGTGTCGTGAGAAGACTGCCTAGCGGTTCGTGATTTTAATGGAGCTAGTTTGTCCAGCGCCGCCCTCATGTCAGCTTCTAGTTGGAGAGCGCAGACGGTTGGATCCGATGATGGGGATAACATTGAAAGCGAGTTTGCAAGGAGGTGACGAAAAGCAGAAAATTCGATACCCTTAAAATTACGCAAGTTGCGGGTGAATTTGATGGTGATTGGCTTCGGAAATTGGAGGGAAGAAAGTATAAGGCGGTGGTCGGAGTAACCAGTTTGGAAAACTCCCAGTGCAGTGATGCGTCGGTGCTGGTTAGGTTCCAGAACCAGGTCGAGCATGCTCTCAACGTTTGTTGACGAAGCTCTGGTGGGGCCTGAGTTTGTGATCACCAGGTTATGGCAGGCCAAAGTTGACTCAAGGTGACTATCGATGGAGGCTGGGGTATTGCCGGGGCAATTGAAGTCGCCTGTAAGCACGAGCCTGTGAGATGGGTTAGGAATCAGATATAGGAATTCCGAAAGCTCATTTACGAAGGTGTTGATGCTGCCATCTGGAGGGCGATAGATGGAAATAATGTAAAAGCACTCGTTGTTAGTAGTAGGGGATACGGACTGGACCTCGAATGTGGCCTGAGCCATTGGTAGATGGAGCTCTTTAATTTTCAAGTGAGCATTGTAAACGACCGCTAAGCCACCACCCCGCTGGTTAGTTGCGCGAGGTTTATGTAGAACCTTGTATCCTGGGGGTGCAACTTCCAGAGAGATAGCTGGCGGGGAGTCTTGCCTGCACCAGGTCTCAGTGATGAGCAAAAGGTCGATGTGGTGGTCCGAGATGGTATCGTGAATCAGGGCTGATTTATTGGTGATGGAGCGTGCGTTGAGCAGACCGAGGCGGATATGTGAAGGTAGATGTGAAGATCCGTGCAGGTGAGGCGTCGAGGGAACAGAGGAGTTGGCTGGTTCGAGGTCGACCTGTGAACGGCGGCCCCTGCCACCTCTGCAACCACGGTGCCGATGCGGTCTCCGACGTTGGCCTCGGAGAAGCCCAAGGACAGAGAGCGTCCTCAGGAGTGCGGGTTGCAGGTGCAGATGATGAAGAGATGGTGCATGTCGTAGCCCTATTATATCAGCCCGTGCTGCAACGATGGTGCGGATGAAGGGGCCCGGATTCGGATGGACTCCAATCAGCGGCTCAGCTGCCCTGAGCAGCAAGTCGAGGTGTCGTTGTCCAAGCTCCACGCTATCAGCAAGCACTTCCCCGTACGTAGCGGATGCAAACACGCCCGTGTAAACACTCGCTGAGCGCGTACACGGGCGTGCAGAACCACGCAGGCGGGGCGTACAATGGAGCAGCCAGAAGTACACGAAGTCCAGTGGATTAGCTGACCACGCTCTGTGCTCCAGCTCGCAGGTGGTGCAGCAGGATGGACGTACCTCGCAGAGCTCCCATTCACTGGTGGTGCTGGGCAGCAGGCAAGCCAACTCTCTCGTGTTGAGGAGATGACAGTCTGCTTCGCGTTCCCACTCGCTGGTGGTGAACGTTGGACGGAGCACGTAGATCTCCCACTTGCTGGCGATGCTGGGGCACGCCAAGCTCACAGTCGCTGATGGTACCGGAAGAGGTGCCTTGTGAGGACGTTGCTGGTAGAAACCGTGCCCGGGGCGGATGTTAAGCCGCGCCGCATGAACAATACAGCCAGCGTCCTCCAGCTTCGTGAATCGAAGCAACAGGCCTCGTTTACTCGCACTGCCCAACAGCTGTGCGATGCGGCAGTTAAGGCGAGTTGTGTGGCACTGCAGTAAACGGCATTTGTCGGCTGTTGTAGCGCCGCGAGGCGTGTGCAGTGAACACGGAGGCGGGCGGGTTTGGGTGCAGGGATCGGCCGCCACCCAAAACTCGGGCGACGCCAAAGTGATAATGAAAATAATGAAACAAAATAAATTATATGAAAAATGTAATGGAAGATGAAAGTAAGAAGAGTGATGGTGAGTGAAGAAGGACATGGGTAAGGTACGAGGTGTGGTTACGGTTGATAAACTGTGAGAGCGATCCGGGACTGCAGCCAGCTGCGGCGCTGTCGCCATGGCATACATTCTCCACAAGAACACTAATTATCATTTTGTATTACGTATACATTTTGTCGATCTGAGACTTGAAATGGACCTTGCCGATGAACATCAGTTGAAGCAAGCCGGACTGTTGAGACATTGTACACCAAAACCAGTCCACAGGTGGCTTGTACTGAACACATGTGTAGTGCCATAAGAGAGGAGGGGCTGCTGGGGGCTCTAAGATCCTCGGCAGATAAGCCCTCGGTGCCAGGCGCTAGGATCCCAGGCACCCCAAACAGTTAAGCCCCTTGACGCCACCAACGGGGGGAGGGGCTGTGCGTGCTCTGTGGGATATCTGGGGGCGCACACAACCCCACCCCTCGTTGGGGACGAGGCATTAAAGGGCAGCTCCCTGGCCGATCGGGGGCAGTTGCAGCTCAAGACCCAAGGCCAGCCAGCTTAGGATTCTGGACCCCCTCGTCCCGCTTGTCCTTGTAAGGGCCGGGACGCTGTGAGGGCCAGTGGTGGGACTCTGGGACTCCCGGCTCTACGTCCTTGTAAGGGCGAGTTCCGAGGAAGCCAGAGTCCAGACCCGCACCTTGGCTGGGTCGGGTCAATTAGCCTCCCCTAGGGTAATTGCAGCCGGAGGAGCCCAGAGCGTAGCCAGAGTAGTGTATCTAGGCTGTGTACCTAAGCTATGTACCTAGGCTGTAACAGAGTATCAGGACTGTTGGAGTGTTTTATTGTAATTAAGAAGATACCTCTACAAGTGTCTCCGGAACCCATTACACATGCATTCCTAAAAGGCCGTGGTATTTATAGTTTGTGTAAAACATTCCTTTGTTTCGTGTAGAGAACGTTCAATGAAAGATGTCTGCCGATCTGTTTTTTCGCAAGGAGGTACTTTAAAGAGCACATTTGAAGGCATCGTGGATTTTTGTTACAGATTTGTATTCTAGCCTAGGTTTTATTGAATTTTAACTTCTATTTAAATACAACTTTAGATATATCTGTCTGCATTGATATCCCACCTTGTTTACCACATGTTTACCTAAATATGTAGACGCTCCCTCTGAAGACGTCACCTCAAATTAACGAGTGGATTACGTCAGGGCCTCCCCCTCTCTCTGGCTTGTGATGTCACCAAGAGCAGAACTCGCCTCCACGGAATCTAACGACTGCACTGTCTTGGAATGCATTTACACAGTAATCAAATCTTCACAACTGCCAGGGAACACACATTAAAAACCACTTAATGTACAATTGGAAGGCCTTTTGAATTGTCTTGAAACTGAAACACGTGTAAGGAGGTCTACAAGGAGCAGAGTCTGAGATTGACGTGTGAAATTTGAAGTTCCATAAGCCCATCGTTTGTGATGCAAGGACCCAATAAAGAGGGCAGCTGGGAAACGTCACCATTCGTGAAGGTGACCTGTGAAGGCTCTAGGGTTTGACTTCCAGGTCACTAATGGAGCCCGAGACAAATCACATCCATTTGTGGATGTGGAGTTTTGGGAGGACTTTTCGGACAAGGTCGAGTAGAAGCAGACAGCATGTGTGACCATAAGTGTTAACCAAAAGCATGAGACACGGTTTCCCAATGTTTATTTCAATTGTTAAATTTTTAGTTGATTTGGAATACAGTACGTATTTCCAATGTGATGTAAATTTTAGTTGACGTTTACCTAACGCCATTACTTGGGTAAGGCTTAAGTATTGAATATCGCGTTTTTAGCTGTCGCGCGGCATTTTCCAAGAACGTAACCTACGATATTCAAGGGGCGGCTGTATTTTCTGTCTATCGAGTACAGCAGGCCTATGGTACCCTAAATAGGCTTGGTGCTTTGGGTTCCTTGATTTCGATGTCTCTGCCTCTGCTCACATTCGTTGAGGATTTTTATGATTTTGGGCAGGCCCATCTAAAGCTGCGTGACCAGGAGTTGGAACCATTTCCTGTTCAACTCGGCTTGTGACAGAAATTCACTCTGGCCCAATGCATTACATTTGTAATGTGAGGTTACACCTGGATAATAATGATGGGCTCTGCCGGCCTCAGCCCGCAACCAATGGGGAGTCGAGTTAGGGGCGTGGCCCTGGAGCCGTACATTAGCTTCGGGAAAGTTCCAGGGGTGTGGCTGAGGATTGGCTGCGGGGCATCACGTGGGCCAGGGATTTAAATGAGCGGAGAAGCCACGTGGCTGGTGCCGTGGTCCGGAGCCTGCCACGTGGCGGGCCGCCGCAGTCTCTCTCTCACGCTGTCAGCCAACGGCGTGAAGGAGCAAGGGAACTGGAGGAACGAATGTGGTGGAAGCTGTGAACGAAACTGAATAAAGAATTCTCAATTGACGACGTCTCAACGGGGTTTATTACACATTACATAGCATGTTCAATAATTATGTAGTTTGAGGAGCTCACAATGGCCGTATAAATAAATTGCATTCGTCGCGGTTAAAAATAATATGCTTATCGATGACTGGTTATAGTTAAGGGATTATACTGGTAGGAACGAAGTGAACCAGCCTACAATAGATTATATCGTCCCTCCGTCCGATTACATGTAGCAACATCGCCCCCTACTGCAAACACTTGGCAGGACCCTACAAAAACCTTTAGACTCAGTGAGGCTTTCCTGGCTAAACAAGTGTAACATTCCCTTATAATTACCTGAGATAGTTTAAAATTAACTCACAGCGGCCTAAAGCCTACAGCTAGGCCTAAAGCCTAGAACTAGGCCTCAAACTCTCCCTTCGTATCGTACCCCCGCCATTTCATTTTATTATAGCCATTCATTTGTTCGTTCCTACCAGCCCACCCCGCAGGGACCTGTTTCCCTGCTGGTCAGCCCTGTTGCATCTGCTGATGATCTGGTAATGGCTACTCAATGAGATGGCTGGCTGAGGTGCCATCTCTTGTTTTGCCAGACACACACAGTAACAATAACAACCGCCATTCGCCACTAAGTGGCGGTCACGTCACCATGGCGCTTGTGCCAAGCTATGTGCACGGGGTAGACCCAGGTGCCATGGGTCGACTGACTCAGTTGACTGGCCGATGCACCATCTGTACCCCCGACTGTGCCAACACACAGTGTACACACACACACACAGTGTACACACACAGTTTGTACACACACAATGTACACGCACAGTGTACACGCACAGGGTACACACACACAGTGTACACACACACAGTGTACACGCACAGGGTACACACACACAGTGTACACACACACAGTTTGTACACACAGTGTACACACACACAGTGTACACACACACATAGTGTACACACACACAGTTTGTACACACAGTGTACACACACAGAGTGTACACGCACAGGGTACACACACACAGTGTACACGCACACAGTGTACACACACAGAGTACACACACAGGGTACACACACAGTTTGTACACACAGTGTACACACACACAGTGACGTCACCACTCATTAACTCGTCGGCGTGAGACGCCAGGGAAAGCTGTTCCCCGTTAGTGACGTCATGTCTCCAAGATATTCAATCCCACCCCCTCCACCGCGCTTTTGACTGACGGTTCATTAACATAATTTATTCATAAAAACCGTCGCTATTTCATTGCGACAGGTTCAGCAGCCAAGCCCAATCACCCCACGTGGGCCCGGCTCATTAACATAATTTATTCAATTACACCGCTGCTCGTTGGGGGAGGGGATTGTGTGGTGAACCCCGCTAGTGACGTCATGTCACCTCCTGCTGCCGCGTGACGTCACGAGACACCAGGAAGCTGCCAGTCCACACGCGCGCTCACTGAGATCTGAGGTGAGAAGTTGACATCGTGGTGGTTGTTGTTGTTGATGTGGTGGTTGTTGTTGTTGTTTACCCAGGTAGAGCCTCGCTCCTCTCTCGTAGGGATATCAATTGAGTAGCAGCGAGTATGGAATCGATGTCCAGGTTGGAACATTACAACGCGGGGTCTGCTTAAGTTTAATTTGTCTTCATCTGGCTCACTACTTTTACATTTTTTAAAAATTATTTTTACAGTTTTTTTTCTCTTACCAGGCCAAGCCCACTTCAGCTGCTATACCGCTCTTGTTTTCAGAAGCGACCTGCCCACAACAAAGTGGCTTATCAACGTGTGGAAATGTCTGTCGGTCAAATACTCTAAACGCGTGGTGATGTTGACTCTAAATGTGGAGGGGAAAACCCTGAGGATCCGGAGGAAAATCCACGCGACCACGGGGAGAGAGAGAGACACGCAAACTCCAAATATCCTTAATACAGGTTTGTTTGGGTTAGGTCGCGTAAAAATAAAAATGTGTCGGTAAACCCGACAGCCAATTAGAAAGGGGTTGTCACATAAACAGCACGTGGCCAATTCGTCACTATTGCAGCACTACACCGGTTGTGTGTTGGAGAGCCAAGCCACAACATTTACAATCTGAGTACGACGTTTCGCCAGTAATTACAACCAGCTTCAGCAGGCGACAACCAAATGCTGTGGCTTGGCTGTGTGGAAATATAAATCGGCTCACTGGGATTATAGCTCAGCATGCTAAGCGTTGCACTACCGCTCCCCACTCACGCACAAACATCATTGAAAGTATATTGATCAAACATGAGTAATGTCTTGCCATGCTGGCTTTGTTAGAATAATTGATTTCTGACAATGAAGTCGGTAAATGTGTTTTTTGTAACGGTTCTTCGGTTGTGTTATAAAATCGCAGGGCTTGTTTGTTTAATAATTAGAGCAGCTTTTAAATCGTTGCCCTTGGAGAGTTTCAGGATAGACATTGTTGGATGTATTCCCATCTGATGGGTTTAATTGAATGAAGCTTAAATTTTGGCATACATGTCGACAGCAAATTGGTGAAAGCGCTCTTTTCATCTCAAGAAGATATTGAAGCCGCCGTTTCATACCATGATCCTGAAGGCAAAGACCTCCATGGCGGAAATCGTATGTTTTTTTGGCAAGCCTGTTGCTGGGTCAGTTTGGCGGAGTAGGAAATGGTAGCCATCATCACCTTGCAGGGTTTGCATCTTGGTGTTGATGACATTGTTGCAATGTGTTGTCAGACATGCAAGGAGATCTGTGAGAACAAATATAGCAGTGCAGTGGATACACTTATGTTATGGTGAGTGTGTGGAATTGTAGTAGATGAAATGTCAAAATGAGTTTGCATGTGTGGCAAACCGAAAGTATTGAGAATGCCCCGGACTTTAACACATGGCAAGAGAAGGCGAGGGCGGGAGGTGAGGAGCGGGGGGGGGGTATAGGTGTTGAAGGTGAGAAGGTAAGCAAACAATTGTGCCAAAAACACACTAACTCACCCGTGAGTGTGCGTGGAAAGTTTGGGGTGTGTTGGCGCAATTTGGTTCACTAAAAATCTACACAAGTGCAAAGTCTGCTTTATCTTCATAGATTTATACTATACAATGTTTCGTCTTGGAATACTTTTTGTATACGGTGTCTTCTTTATTTCAATTGTATAGTTTATTTGGAATACAGTACAGTACTTCATTCAATTGTAAAATTTAGTTGACGTTTACTTAACGTCATTACTTAGGTAAGGCTTAAGTATTGAATGTCGCGCTTTTAGCTTTCGAGCGGCAATTTCCAAGAATGTAACATCCATGGTAACCTAGGGGCTGCTGTATTTTCTGTCTATTGACTACAGCAGAGGCTTATGGATTTTCAACATAAACTAAATCTCTGCATTCTTAATTGAATTAAGGCCTATAGTACTATTAAGAGGCTTGGGGATTTGGGTTGTTATTTGTATTCATATCTATGCCTCTGCTCACATTTGAGGATTTGTTTGATTTTGGGCAAGATGGTCTAATGCTGCGTGACCAGGATTCCGAGCCATAACCTGTTCAACATGGCTTGTGACAGAAATTCACTCTGGCCCCATGCATTACATTACATAGCATATTCAATTACTATGTAGTTTGAGAAGCTCCCAATAGTCATATACAAACCATTGCATTTGTTGCGGTTACAATGATACGCTAATCAATGCCTGGTTATAGTTAAAAGATCGTTCCCTGCCTGGTCAACCATGTTTCATCTGCTGATTATTTGGTAATGGCTACTCAGTGAGATGGAATTAGGGAATCTTGTTCTGTGCCTTGATAATTTCATCATGAAATGGGGCCTTGCAAATGTTTCACAAAAATAAACGACATACAACACTGCACCTGCTCAACTCTACGTGAATAATCAGGCAGTTCTACAAGTGTTGGAGGAGCTTCCATACCGGGTTGATGTGTTCACGACCAGCTCTGGTTTGGCAGCCAAAGTCTCATTTAAAATTAGTCGAGCAGCATTCTTTCATTAGACTTTGTAACACTGTGTGGAAGGTGCCTGGACTTTTGCTCCATACAAAGCTTTGAGTGTCCATCGCCAATGTCTAGTCCATCTGAGACCATCCCTCTCCCTGCCATACTGGCATCGCACCCGCCTCTCACCCTTCATCCTGTGGATGTTCGACGCACGGGATGGCACCACTTAGCCAATTCGAGTTGGCCTTAGTGAGTTACGTGGGTCACACAGCCACGAGGCGCTTGTTTTGTGAACACAACCCCTGGGCCTGGCTCTATGGGTGATATCAATATAGATTATAAGTAAGAATGCTCCCCAATAGACTCCCCCTGGAACTCTACCAGACACGTCCCACTGGGCGAAGACTCCGGGGCTGGCCCAAGACTATGTCGCTCGGCTGGCCTGGGAACACTTTGGAATTCTCCAGGATGAGCTAGAGCAGGGGTGGGCAAACTTTTTGACTCGCGGGCCACAATGAGTTCTAAAATTTGACAGAGGGGCCGGGCCAGGAACAGGTGGATGGAGTGTTTGTGTGAACTAATATAAATGACATGTAAAAATCATTACATGAAAGGATTTGGCCTTTAACAGGTAGCAAAGCATTTATTTGCAAGGCAATTTAACAAATTGCACAAACATGAACAATACAAAAACATGTCGTAACGTGACTGATCAAACATCATGAAAACATCTGAGGCCTGCGCCAAACCAATTACCTCACCTGAACTTCTTTATTATCTACATTAACACGTTAGAGCAGCCACGCAGGCTGTGTCTCGGAGATTTGGCTCCAACCTCGCTGCAGCAACACATCATCACTTTCAGTTTCAGTGGGAACTTTTGTTGATCTCCCATTTTTGGCAGTGCATCCTAGTCTGGAGTTATTTTGGTTGTGGCAATTCTCAGGATAGATCTGAGGTGTTGATCCGTTAACTATGATCTGTGACGGGCTTTGTTGGCGTTCATGACGCTGAATGTCTGCTCACACACATAAGTCGAGCCAAACAAAGTCAGTATCTTCTGTGCAGTCCTCCGGAGGTTTGGAAACGTGGCTCTGTTAAGTGAAGCATAAAAGTCATTCAGTTTAACAGAGTTGAACTTCTCCTTTAGGACGGAGTCAGACTGAAGATCTATCAGTTCCAACTGCAGCTCATGTGGTGCTGTTTCAGGGTCTTGTGACAGGGGACAGGACACCAGCTGAAGTGGCTGTTCAATGTTTTAGAAATCAGAGAACCTACGGCAGAATTCTCCGTGCAGGTCCTCAAGTGATTTGCTGTATTTTTTTGCGTTTCGCGGTGCCTCCTCCTGCATGGCAAGTGTGGGGAAATGAGCAAAAGATTTTTTGTTCGCAATTTGTCCGGAGAACAAAGTGAGCTTGGATTTGAAGGCTTTCACATGTTTGTACATGTCGTGAACAAACTGATCTTTCCCCCTGCAGTTTCACATTCAGCTCATTCATGTGTGAAAATATGTCCACAGCAAACACAAAGTCACTAAGCCAGTTCTTGTCGCTTAGCTCAGGGAATTCGTCAGATTTCCCCATCAACTCCAAAAATGCGATGATGTCCTCTTTCAGCTCCCACACTCGTTGTAACACTTTCCCTAAACTTAACCAGTGGACACGAGAGTGGTACAGCAAGTCCTGATGATCCGCATCAGTTTCCTCCAGGAAGGTAATAAACTGACGGTGCTGAAGTCCCCTTGCTCGTATACAGTTCACAAGTTTTACGACTGGATTCACGACATGATTAAGCTGCAATACAGACTTACACAGGGATTCCTGATGGATGATGCAGTGAAGGAAAATAAGATCCTGGACGGAGTTTTCCTCTTTCACTTTATCCTGGATTCTTTTCAGCAGCCCAACATTTTTTCCAGTTAAATTTGGCGATCCATCCGTTGTGACAATGACAAGTTTACTCCAAGGTAGCTTCATTCTTTCGATGACAGCAGATATCTGGTTATACAAGTCCTCTCCCCGCGTTGTTGCTTTCAGGGACTCCATGGTCAAAAACTCCTCTGTTATCGCAAAACTGTCGTCAATCCCTCGGATAAAAATGAGGAGCTGAGCAGTGTCTTTTATGTCCGTACTTTCATCCAGTGCTAGTGAATATAATTCAAAGGAATCAGACTTTTTGTTTAATTGACTGGCTATATTTTCATCAATCAGTTCCACACGGCGAATCACAGTCCTGCGTGATAAACTGACTTTTTCAAATTTTCTTTTGATCTCCGGACACAATATGTCTGCTGTCTGTACCATGCATTCTTTTATAAACTTGCCTTCGGAGAAAGTGGTAATGAGTGGTAATGTTGGTGAGAAGAAGGTTTTAACGAAAATTTAAATCGAAGTGAAGAAGAAAATTATTGAAAAGTTTGTATAATTAATGATTTTTCAAACTTTAATTATGTTTTCTGTGCTTAAAACTCTTTAACTAAAAACTGGGGTCTAGAACGGACTCGTGAAATTCGGAGAGAACTCGGAGTTAAGTTGTGTTTGTTTTGTTGAATTACACAAAGCGTAACAGTTATGTATATAACTTTTGTTATATAAAATTTCTAGTAAGATATTAATTTTGTGAGTGTAGTCATACCCCTCCCCCCTCATTCAAGCCGTAATTTAGATAGCGAAAGCGCCGAGTACGTAAATCGCTAACATAAGAACCCGTTAATCTCTTCTCGCATCATTCATACGATGATGCGGTGAAGTAAACGTTCATATGATATTACGGTGAATGCTTCCAAAAACAATACTGTACCCAAATATTACTGTTAACTTACTTTCAATAGAAACATGAATTGCTCATACGAATATTCTCTCTCTCAGAATCGACCGACTGATGTAGCAGACGAAACAATCATCTTGTTGAACGATTCTAAACCTTGATGCGTCAATGTTAGTTTTCTCTGTTCAAGGTTTTCTCAGTGTTATTAAATGTTTTTACATTTAGTTTACTATTACACTGAATTCTATGGCGTAATTAACTATTTTTGTGCTTAATAATCTTAAAAAAACAATATTTAAATACAGTTCGTAGGAGTCTGGAACGGATTAATCGTATTTACATACAATCCAATGGGGAAACTAGGTTCGAGTCACGACCAAATCGGGTTGCGACCAAAGTTATGGAACTAATTATGGTCGTAACCAGAGGTTCTACTTTACACCACACTCCCGGTCAAAGTGCTCTATCTAATGGGGAAATGGGGGCATTACAGGAGGAAGGTAAAATTTAATTTAATAATAATATTTGGACAAGTTCGGCGGGCCGGATTTAAAAGCCCAATGGGCCGTATACGGCCCAGGGGCCGTACTTTGCCCATGTCTGAGCTAGAGTCTGTCGCCAGGGAAAGAGAGACCTGGACCACCCTACTCAGCATGCTGCCACCGCGACCCTCACCAGGACAAGCGTTTTCAGAAACTAACGAACACAGCTGTGATTCTTCTAGTTTTACACGGGCCCGCTCACCATCATGAAGGTCCTTAATGATCGTGAGCAGAGGGTCAGGGACTCCGAAATCACGAAGAACAACCCAGAGCCCAGGCCTACTAATGGTATCATAGGCCTTGACCAGGTCAATAAAGCAGAGATGTAGGTCTAGTTGGAATTCCCTACACCTCTGCTGTAGCAGACTGACAGAAAATATGGCATCTGTGCAGGACCGCCCTTTCCTGAAACCGCATTGGGGCTCTGCAAGCCTCTCCTCGGCGTGCCTAGCAAGGCGATGTTGAATAATCCTTGCCAGGACCTTCCCTGGCACACTGAGGAGTGAGATGCCCCTGTAGTTGTTACAGTCTGTGCGGTCCCCCTTCTTAAAGAGGGGGACCACTAGGGTATCCTTCCAGTCCTGCGGAACCCATTCAGTGGTCCAGACTGTTGTTATGATGTCATGTACAGTGAGGGAAAAAAGTATTTGATCCCCTGTTGATTTTGTACGTTTGCCCACTGACAAAGAAATGATCAGTCTATAGTTTTAATGGTAGGTTTATTTGAACAATGAGAGACAGAATAACAACAACAAAATCCAGAAAACGCATGACCCCCTCTCAATCAGAAAGATTTCTGGCTCCCAGGTGTTTTTTTATACAGGTAACAAGCTGAGATAAGGAGCACACTCTGAAAGGGAGTGCTCCTAATCTCAGCTTGTTACCTGTATAAAAGACACCTGTTCACAGAAGCAATCAATCAGATTCCAAACTCTCCACCATGGCCAAGACCAAAGAGCTCTCCAAGGATGTCAGGGACAAGATTGTAGACCTACACAAGGCTGGAATGGGCTACAAGACCATCGCCAAGCAGCTTGGTGAGAAGGTGACAACAGTTGGTGCGATTATTTGCAAATGGAAGAAACACAAAATAACTGTCAATCTCCCTCGGCCTGGGGCTCCATGCAAGATCTCACCTCGTGGAGTTGCAATGATCATGAGAACGGTGAGGAATCAGCCCAGAACTACACGGGAGGATCTTGTCAATGATCTCAAGGCAGCTGGGACCACAATCACCAATAAAACAGTTGGTAACACACTATGCCGTGAAGGACTTAAATCCTGCAGCACCCGCAAGGTCCCCCTGCTCAAGAAAGCACATATACATGCCCGTCTGAAGTTTGCCAATGAACATCTGAATGATTCAGAGGACAACTGCGTGAAAGTGTTGTGGTCAGATGAGACCAAAATGGAGCTCTTTGGCATCAACTCGCCGTGTTTGGAGGAGGAGGAATGCTGCCTATGACCCCAAGAACACCATCCCCAAGGTCAAATATGGAGGTGGAAACATTATGCTTTGGGGGTGTTTTTCTGCTAAGGGGACAGGACAACTTCACCGCATCAAAGGGACGATGGACGGGGCCATGTACCGTCAAATCTTGGGTGAGAACCTCCTTCCCTCAGCCAGGGCATTGAAAATGGGTCGTGGATGGGTATTCCAGCATGACAATGACCCAAAACACACAACCAAGGCAACAAAGGAGTGTCTCAAGAAGAAGCATATTAAGGTCCTGGAGTGGCCTAGCCAGTCTCCAGACCTTAATCCCATAGAAAATCTGTGGAGGGAGCTGAAGGTTCGAGTTGCCAAACGTCAGCCTCGAAACCTTAATGACTTGGAGAAGATCTGCAAAGAGGAGTGGGACAAAATCCCTCCTGAAATGTGTGCAAACCTGGTGGCCAACTACAAGAAACGTCTGACCTCTGTGATTGCCAACAAGGGTTTTGCCACCAAGTACTAAGTCATGTTTTGAGAGGGGTCAAATACTTATTTCCCTCATTAAAATGCAAATCAATTTATAACATTTTTGACATGCGTTTTTCTGGATTTTGTTGTTATTCTGTCTTACTGTTTAAACAAACCTACCATTAAAATTATAGACTGATCATTTCTTCGTCAGTGGGCAAACGTACAAAATCAGCAGGGGACCAAATACTTTTTCCCTCACTGTATGCAGCTGAAGTTAGATCTATTCATCCGAGCATTCAAGCAAATCTGAGCCTGGCTTCCACCTCGAAGTTTCGATTGAACATTAATTTATGCATTTCTGCATAATACAAATAGTATTATTTTCAAGACACTTTGTTATTATAGCTGAATTTTTCTTAAATATTCCTTTCATAGCTAGACAGCCGAAATTGTGTGCTTGGAGTTTTGGGTAAAGATTCATTTTGAAGATACTAGAGCATCCAGGCATATTTATGACCATTTGCCCTCTCATTGTGTGTCTTAACAACCCGCGTGATGAATTGGGGAATTATTTTCAATATATCATTAATATATGAATAAGTATAGATGTGTAAGTCATGTGTGACTGTGTATATATGCATTCCTCTGTGCCTTGATACTGACGTAGATGGTTTGGATATGTTTTTCTGTCTGCAGCTGACGCTTTCTCTGACTCTTCCTCTGCAGAATTGGTCTGATGGAGCAAAGGGACTCGGCGCAGCTCGGTACAAGAAGGAAACAATGCGACCAGTATGCAGACAGCACGGATCGTACTGGAAGTTTGACACAACACCAGAGAACTCACACAGGAGAGAACCCCTTCAAGTGCAGTGTGTGTGAGAAGGCATTTGCAACGTTATCAAATGTTAAGCGCCACCAGAGAACACACACAGGAGATAAACCCTTCAAGTGCACTGTATGTGAGAAGGCATTTGCAACGTTATCAAATCTTCAGAGCCACCAGAGAACGCACACGGGAGCTAAACCCTTCAAGTGCACTCTGTGTGAGAAGAAATTTGCACGGTCATCACATCTTCACGACCACGAAAGAACACACACAGGACAGAAACCCTTCAGGTGCACTATGTGTGAGAAGGCATTTGCACAGTCATCACATCTTCAGAGCCACCAGAGAACACACACAGGAGAGAAACCCTTCAAGTGCACTGTGTGTGGGAAGGCATTTGCACAGTCATCACATCTTCAGAGCCACCAGAGAACACACACAGAGAAACCCTTCAATTGCACTCTGTGCAGGAAGGCGTTTGCACTGTCATCACATCTTCAAAGACACCAGAGAACACACAGGCATCAGAAGATCCCCAAGAAGCGGAGTCTGAAATCGGCTTGTGTAAATCCAAGTGCTGCAATGAGCCCATCCCTGCTGAAAAAAGAACCAGAATTTAATTCCAGCTTGGACGCAATAAAATGTGTCAAGGTGGATTTTGAAGTGGTGAAATGTGAAGAAGTGATGGTGAAGAGCGAAGAAGCGATGGTAAAATGTGAAGATGAAGATTCAACTCCAAAATCGGACCTTCACATCGATGGAGGCAACGTGAAGCAGGAGGAGAATTCTGACTGTGAGGCAGAGCGAGGCAACTCCCAGGAGTTTGTGGAAGTGGAGGTGTGGGTGGACTTCTTAGACAATACAAAGTCAAATGGAGACCCGGTAGATGTGTAAGCTTGAGACAATGAAGCTCCAATAGATGCACCTTTGTCACAGGCCTTTAATTAAAATAACGTGAAGTTGCACACTCAATTCATAGGTTCAACCTGCAGAGTAAGAGCAGCCAGTATTTGCGGACCTGTGGGTTGGGTAGATCTCTAACCAGGAGCCAGAGCCAATAAGCTCCGAAGCATTCTCTATGTTATACTATGTTATAATAATTTTAGCATTTATATGGTGCTTGCTTAATTGCCTCAGCAACTCAGTTGTTTTGTATCATCTCATCACAAACACTCGAAGAGCATGTTGTATATATGTCTTTTCCATAAAATTAATATGAGTGATTTTTTTGTAATAATTTTGATCGGGATGTAGCGCTGTGGCATGGAAAGGGTGAGTCTCCCCCCTGCCTCCTGCCTTGCCACGCATAAGACAGCTGGAGGATAATTACTCATAAGCCTGTTTGGGAAGTCATAAAATGTAATAAAAATGGCAAACCCAAGGGGGGGGGGGATAATGAGATTCTGCAGGAAATCCCCAGTTCAAGAGAAGGCAGCCATAAAGGATAAAACCCCACAATAAAACAAAAGACGAAAACAGCAGTGGTCATGAACCTCCCTTGGACAGCGAAATTCACCCACGGGCAGTTAATCATTACGAGTTAACTGGGGTTTTTAAAAATACAACAGTAAGGTTTGAAGCTTAGCTATATCTTCAACCTCAGGATATTAAAATATAACTTGAGAATAAGAAGCACGGATCCCTGGCAATACAGACTGGGAACAAATATTAATTTATCTTCTTGGTTCTTTCGGTAAAGTCACGTAGAAGGGAAGTAATAAAATAATAAAAATAAAACATAATCAAATTATTCTCACGACGTTTCGGCCACAACGCAAGCAGCCGTCCTCAGGTGAAAACCAGGTCAGTCGAGGCGACAGAGTCTGAATGAAACAGCACACGAGCTTGGAGCATATGTAAAGTAGTAACTCGGCAGGAGACGACTTCACGGGTAGCACACTCTTTATTTTCACCAACTTGTAGTTACACGGATGACTAACACCCTACTTCGTTACACGGGTGACTAACACCCCACTTAGCTACTCGGGTGACTAACACCCACTTAGCTACACGGGTGACTAACACCCACTCAGCTACACGGGTGACTAACACCCACTCAGCTACACGGGTGACCAACACCCACTCAGCTACACGGGTGACCAACACCCACTCAGCTACACGGGTGACCAACACCCTCCTTAGCTACTCGGGTGACTAACACCCACTCAGCTATACTGACACGGGCTCTTACGCCCCGTAGCCTTCCGGGACACACCCAGCCGGGGTGCCCGTCTCGGCTCTGGGTACCACCGTCCCGACCCACACGGGCGTCGGACTACGGTCCCCCAGTCTCGGCTCCGAGCCACACAGGGCCCCGGTCCTCACAAGGACGGCGGGACTAGGGGTCTCGGGCCACTACCTCCTCCACCCCGTCTTCGGTCTTCAACTGGTTAACACTGACCACGAGTGCTCTCGCGCGTCTTCCTTTATACCCCTCCTGCGGACGTCGCTGAGAGCCCCCACTTATCTGACCAATCACTGCGCACTCGCTACGATCCTCTTTTCCCAGCTTGTGTCAGCGCGCCTTACCACCGACGCGCGCGTCCATACCACGCCCACATCGCGTGCCCAACCCCGCGCCCCGTGATCCATCACTGTCGGCGCACGTCAATACCACCACTACATCACCCCCTACCACATAGCTCGCAGCCGACCCGGCTGCTAATAAAATATACAACACCCCTTCACCCCTATGTGTGCCCCGTAACATAACAACAAAACCCTAACAACACAACATGAACACCGCAATCCGCAAAACCCAGCAACCGCCACACCCACAACAAGAACAATATGCGCAATCCGGCGAGTGGCAACGATAATGTGTATGCGGAAAGAGTAACAATAAAAATAAAAAAAATATTTTTCATTTTCTCTTCTTTTCTCTCCGACTCGTGCGGCGTCCCAATGTGTCCGAGCGTCCCTTGAACGGGACATTACCCCGGCAGAGGGGGACCCCGGCAGCGAGGTCGGGCTTTAAACAAAAAAGGAAAATTATCTTTTTTTTTTCATGAAAAGTGTTGCGTCCTAGCCCGAGTCCGCCTTGGCGGTCCGTCGTACGGCACCAGACGCAGTTGGCCATCCGGTGGCGCCGGCAGTTCAGGAAGGCATGGGCCAGGCATCGGGGCTCCGCGCGAGCCGCGGGGTTCCGGTTCCCGACGGTCAACAGCCGTCAGGTCCGAGACACCTGGGGGTGGGTCAGGTGGAGACACGTGAGGATCAGCCTGCGACACATCCCTCCCCGAGTCGACGGTCACATCACACGCTCGGTCGTCACGGCACAACCCGGGGTCACGCGGCGCCGCGTAGGGTTTCAGTCGGGAGGGGTGCACGTACCAACGGCGTTTTCCCCATTTAATCTGTATACTCTGGGGTCGTGCAACCCGCACAATTTCCACCGGTCCCCTCCATGGTCTCAACAGTTTGGGGGACGTAGCCAACGGTGCGTGTGGACAATGCAGCCAGGCCTTATCGCCCGGTTCCCAATTGTGCGTATGCACCTTCCGTCCATGCAATCGCTCGTTCGCGATCTGCCGAGACCGCGAATTCAATCTCGCAGCCTCTCGCGCTTCAGCCAATTTGGCGATGTTAAACTTGATATGGTCTGCCAATTTAGATTTTGCACGTGGCTGGGAAATCCCCAGTTGGACGTCCATGGCCGGATCGGCCTCCCGCCCATACATCAGAAAAAATGGAGAAAACCCCGTCGCCGCATGAGGTGCCATCCGATAGGCCGCTAGTACCCCCGGTACCTCTAAGTTCCAATCCACCTGGTCATCGCATACCTGTTGGCACAGCATAGACGTAATCGTCCTGTTCAGACGTTCAACCATACCGTCAGTCTGCGGGTGGTACGGGGAGGTACGTACTTTCTTTGTACCCAACAGGTCACACACTTCGCGCAACAAAACACTCGAAAAAATTTTCCCTTGATCCGTCAGCAAGCGTTCGGGGGCGCCTTTGTCCAAAACATAACCTTGGACAAAGGCGTCCGCCACTGCCGCAGCCGACTGGTTGGCGAGTGGCCATGCCATGGGCCAGCGAGTGAAGTACTCTACGCCAACCAGCAGGAACTTATTTCCCCGAGGCGTAGCGGGAAAGGGCCCCAAGATGTCCAGCGCGACCAATTCGTTCATGCGCGAAACCTGAATGGATTGCAGCGGTGGATTAGCCGCTATTGGTGGTGGTTTTCTTTGGGCGCACCCTACACATCCCTTAAGAATGTTCGCCACGTCGTTGCCCATCCCCGGCCAATAGTAGTCTCGCTGAATGAGGGCGAGCGTTTTGTGAAACCCCAGGTGCATGAGTCGTTCATGGGCAGCCAGGACGACCCTACCCCGCATAGCAAACGGCACCACGAGCACGTGACGCCGGGACATGTTGTCCCACCTCATCAAAAGGCCCTGTCTGCACACCCAGGAACCGACCCGCGTTTCCCCTCCCTCGGGATCGTCAACCTTCCGACGTAGCGTGAGTAGGGAGCTGTCGGACATTTGCAGACGGCCCCACTCGATGAGAGGCAACGCTAACAGCGAGTCCCTCCCCGTGGGAGCGTCGACCCCCGTAGTATCCGTGGCGGCGAGCACAACTTCCGCGGGGACAGCGACAGAGGGTTTACACCGCGCCGATCCTAACAGACATGCGCATTCCGTACGCGGCGGCAACCGCGACAATGCATCCGCATTCGAGTGGCGCAACCCTTTGCGGTAAATCGTCGTGAATTGGTAGTCCTGAAGGACCTCCAACCATCGGGACAACTGGCCGGATGGCTGCGCCACCCGCATAGCGTATTGGAGAGCCGCATGGTCCGTGCGAACCGTAAAATGACGGCCATAAAGATACGGCCTGAATTGCTGCACAAAAAACACAATCGCCAGCAATTCACGACGTGTCACGCAGTAGCGTTGTTCCGCGGGGGACAGAACCCTGCTACCGTAGGCGACCACCCGTTCGACCCCCCCGACCACCTGTGAGAGCACTCCCCCGATACCTGTGTTACTGGCATCCGTGTCGAGCACAAACGGTTGCGTGAAATCGGGGTAACACAAGGGGGGAGCCTGCACCAAGGCGTCACGAAGGGAGCAGAATGCGGCCTCCTCTTCCGACCCCCAGTGAAACCGCACCCCTTTAGCCGTCAAAGCGTGCAGGGGCCTGGCTATGGTGGCAAACTGCTTGACAAAACGACGGTAATAGGAGGCGAATCCTATGAAACTGCGGACTTCAGTGACAGAGGTCGGCGTTGGCCATGAGCTGACGCATTTCGTCTTAGCAGGGTCTGTCGAGATCCCTGAACGGCTAACGATATGGCCCAAATACCTGACCGATTCCCGAAGCAGAAAACATTTAGCCGGTTTAAATTTAAGCTTAGCGGAACGCATCCTGAGAAACACCGCTCTCAGTCGCTGGAGGTGCTCCTCAAAAGTCCGGCTGAAAACAATGATATCATCGAGGTAAATCAAACAGGTGTCCCATTGGAGGCCTGACAAAACCAATTCCATGAGCCTCTGGAACGTGGCAGGAGCGGAA